GAAGTAAACCCAGAGAAGGTTGAGGCCGTTCAGCAGATGGAACCGCCAAGGACTGTCAAAGACGTGCAGCGTTTGGGAGGTCGTGTCGCTGCGCTGCACAGGTTTATAGCCAGGTCGGCAGAAAGATGCCTCCCGTTCTTCAAGGCCCTGCGAGAGCCCAAGAATTTTCAATGGACCGACACGTGTCAGCAGGCCTTTGACGAGCTCAAACAATACTTAGCGTCAGCGCCCCTGCTACACAAGCCTGTGGAAGGAGAAAGCTTGTATCTGTATTTAGGGGTTACAGCAGAGGCGATTAGCTCGGTCCTACTCAGGGAAGAGAATAAGAACCAGAAGCCTATCTGTTATGTAAGCAAAGTCTTACAAGGTGCAGAGCAGAACTATCCATTAGCAGAAAAGGCGGCGTTTGCCCTGGTGTACACAGCTCGTAAGCTGAGGGCTTATTTCCAGTCACACCAGATTGTTGTCTATACCGATTTGCCGTTGAGAAAAATACTGCAGAAACCTGAACTCTCAGGTCGGCTCGTCGGATGGAGCATCGAGCTGAGTGAATATGACCTCAAATTCCAGCCGCGCACAACCATAAAAGGCCAGGCCGTCGCGGACTTTCTGGTGGAATGCATCTCAGCGACAAAGGAAGAAAAACTACCTTAACACCCTGTCTGGGTTTTATATGTTGATGGAGCGGCTAACATGGAGGGATCAGGTGCTGGAGCTGTGTTAGTGGGTCCAGATGGCTTTAGGTCTGAGCATGCACTAAGATTTAAGTTTCAGACGACTAATAACGCTGCTGTGTATGAAGCTCTCATCTATGGATTGAAATTAGCGTCCGAGCTGAGGGTACAGAGCATCCAAGTTTTCAGTGATTCTCAGCTCGTGGTGGGCCAGGTAAATGGCAGTTGTGAAGTTAGGGATCCCCAGCTTGGCCGATACACCTCTGTGGTTAACAGATTGAAGTCAAAATTTGCTTCATTTCAGATCGAGAAAATACCAAGAGCTGACAACCATCGAGCTGACGAGCTATCAAAGTTGGCCTCCTCGCAGGACTTCAGCCCTCAGAGGTCAACCATCGTCGAAGTGCTGGACGCCCCGAGCTACACTGATTTCACGGTCGAGTGTCAGCTACTAAGCACAGATCCCTCCACGCCGAGCTGGACCACCCCGCTTATAAATTATCTGCAAAGTGGCGAGCTACCTGAAGATCTGTTTGCTGCAAGATTGGTTAAACGAAGGGCAGCACATTTCACTTTGTTAGATGACCAGCTCTACAAACGAGCAGCCTCTATGCCCCTATTGCGCTGTCTCTCTCCTTATGAAGCTGAGTACGCTGTGAGAGAAATCCATGAAGGAGTGTGCGGCATGCACATCGGAGGCAAAACCTTATCTCGGAAGCTCCTGAGGCATGGGTATTACTGGCCAACTATGGTTGAGGACGCACAGAACTATGTCAAAAAGTGCCCGACCTGCCAGTTCAACGCTGATGATATTCACATGCCAGGGGAAATGCTCTCATCACTCTCATCTCCCTGGCCTTTTGCCCAATG